ATAACAGTAGAAATCTTAAAAGGGCATAATGAATAATCAGCTTATGTACCCAGTGTAGACTTCGCTATGAAATGATTGACTGTAATGATTTCCTAAATGAGTTTTGAATTCAGAGCAGAATGCGTCAGCCTAATGTGAGATGTGAAACGAAGTGGCGAAACTAATACTAATAATAATAATAGCCTTATTCTGTAAAGCATATATATACATATATTGTACGAAATTTTCAGCATAATTTATTGCGTGATATTTCCTTATAATCCAAGATCTTCAAATAAAATATCAGGTCTCAGCAGACCACGCTAAACACTTCTGCCTGACGTGAAACGAAAACCAAGAAATAATGATGTCTTTTCTCTGTCTTCTTCGTTGAATGGGTGTACTTTGATTGAATGGCCACAAGAAACTGTCCAGCAATCCATTCAGTGAACCAAGGACACAATCAATAAACGCTTATCTCTTGCAGTGCAATATGCCCCAACCCACGATTGTTTTTTCTCATAATAATTAGAAACTTGCGAATCAGCAAGTTGTAAACACATTAATTACTCGCCGGAGTACAAAACGCAATTAAAGGTCATAGTTTATCAGATTTAAACAAACTGCACGGGAGAAAATATCTGTGGGATTTTTCGGTAGCCCGAATTTAAGCAGGCCGCCAAGACAGAAGTGGGCAAATGGAAGTTGAACGCTACTACAATCGAAAATATCACTGCACAAAGACATTATTACTTGATGAAAATTAATGGAAATGCTTAGAGCTTAGAAAATGGTAAATAGCACATACGCCCGAGCAATATGAGCTATCAGCAGTTAATTCGTGACATGTCGAGAAATGCAGTTGAGTGATGTTTTACCTGGAATTGATAATTGATGTAGTTGTTTTCTCTGACCTGAATGGATGTTTTATTTGCGAAGCTTTCGGTGCCCTACTGGGCAACATCTTCAGCGCATAACTCAGTTTGTTGAAGTGAGCTTTTAGATTTCTACACAATTTTATAAATCATCTCTCCTGGTGACCTTGAACGTGACTGGTTGTTTTCGTGTGTTTTCACACCCTCTAGTCTACTTTTATTCGTAGTGATTGTTTCTTCGACCTGCAGTTTGTCCCCCTGTGTGTTAGATTTCCATCTAATCGATTGATAAATTCTGTCTGTGTCAGTATGTCTACCAAATCAAAGTTCTCCAGGGAAAACACTATTCTCACCTTGAATTGTATAATTTCACTTGTCCCACTTGTCATTCTAAATCCAGAAATTTTTACAATACTGAATTCTATCTTATCAAACTCCACACCATGTTATGTAACATTTTATATTCGTCTACTAATCCTATAGTTATGCACCCTTTTTCAACATGCATACATCTTTTGAATTATTACATTTATGACATTAATTGTTTTTTTTTCAAGTATTGGTTTTGTAGGGATATTGTTTGATTGCATGGAGGATTTAATCATGAGCTGACGTCAGGCAGTTAACCTGGGGTTCTAGTGGGAAGCCGTGACCAGTAGGGTACAGCAGGTTGAAGATGAGGTAGTAACTCATCGTAGAAGACATTGTGAAATGGTCGCGCTATGTCGTGAACTGGCAGAAGTTAGAATTCAAGGACCACTGGATTGCGTCCCAGTGGCTCAATGGTCTACGAGCTAGCTCGCCTTGTAATCATAAGGTCCTGGGTTCGAATCCCGGTGGGTGCGTACTGCTGAATAGTCCCAAACTAGGACGAAACAGCTGTCCAGTACTCCCAGGTTTTCCAGTGTTTCTCTAACTGATGTCAGCTCATGATTAAATCCTCCATGCAATTAATTGTTTTGCCACTTGACACTTAACTACGATTATAATCACCAATATTTTAACTGCATTTTATACTACTATTATTATTTTATGTATTCACACCTATGATTCAATTCCCTCACTGGATATAAATTTTAAAAAACCATAAACATACGATTGTACAATTTGATGATAAGTTCGTCGTAAAGAGTCTCTCCGTTGAATCTTGTGTTCTTAATGTTACAATGGAAATTATTAAATCATTGAATCAAATTCTCGTCTATGTTCTGTTTTCAATGCATTATTTTCTATATTACTAACTTTGATTTTAGTAGCTTGAATTATACTTCAAATTATGAGACTATTATTCTACAATATTCTATGTACATAAACATATATATAAATAATTGTAGAGCCAGAAGAGGGAATTATCGAAAAGGATATTCTGTGCTCGCTTATTTTGTTTTTTTTTAAAGATGCCTAATGAATATTTTCGCAATAGTGTAATACATTTTATGAAAAATGTATTCTGTACAAATTTAAATTAACACAATAAATTGCTAAGAAACTTGACGGTCAGCTCAGATCTGATAGTTCACGCCTGAACATTCATTGATTTATTTTGCATAAGTGTTACAATACTAGACGTCTTGAGCGTCTGTCAGTCGTTTCCCTAACTGACAGTTGAAATATTAAAGTATATCAAGAATTAATTATATGTAAAAGCAATACACCGATTCTATAGTTTGGTTTGTAAGGATTAGTTATGCTTTACGAGTTCCAATTAGATGTCACGTGTTTGGATGGATGTCCCACCAACGACAATGGTTGGGGTCGCGCTAAATCACGAATTGGTAGAAGTTAGAATTCACGAGCCACTGAACCGGGTCCCAGTGGCTCAATGGTATACGAGCTTTCCTTGTAACCGGAAGGTCCTGGGTTCGAATCCCAGTGGGTACGTACTGCTGATGACTGACAAACTGGGATGAAACAGCTGTCCAGTACTCCAGGGCTGGTTTTCAATTGTTCTCTAACTGATATCAATCCGTGATCAACTCGTAAAATCATTTATAAACCGAAAAATATAATTTTGTCTATCATGAAGTCAATTCAGCAGATTCATGTACTTTTAATAATTCTTCAGTAGCATTTAAACAGACACACTGTATTTTCATAAATTTCATAAACACCGACTTCTCATCTTCTCCCCATCGCTTTTGTCTTGGTTTTCAAACTTCAAATAAGTTTTATAAGAATTCTGATCAAGATTTGTCGGGAGAGTTGCACGCTGAGTAGAAATTAAATATAAGTAAAAAACCAACCATATTTGTATACATCAGCAAAATTGAAGTAAATAATTTCAACAGCACTCAGCATCAAAAATAAGATCCAGATTTTCAACTACAATGTGAAGTCAGTGCTACTTACTATACGAATCAGATATTTGGTGCGTTATAAAGAGCATCTCAAACAAACTTCAGACCTTCATTAACAGTTGTCTTCGCTCAATACTCAAGATCAGATGGCCAGAAAAGATCAGCAACAGAGATCTCTGGGAGCGAACCAACCAGGAACCTATTGTGAAACAAATAGGTAGGAAGAAATGGAGATGGATTGGCCATACTCTGAGAAAACCATCAAATGACATCACTAGACAAGCCATCGCTCGAGTGGAACCCGAAAGGGAAGCGGCGAGTTGGTGGTCGGTGTAAGGGTGACTTAAAGGAGGTCATGTGAAGAGGAGATGAAAGCGTGTGGGCAGACTTGGAGCGGGGTGAAAAAGTTGGCAGAAAACCGAAGGCAATGGAGGTGTGCAACTGAAGCCCTATGTTCCTCTAGGAATTAAAGGATATAATAAGAATAATAATTCCAATGCTTCATCTAGGGAACTGGGAAAACAATCGAATAGATGACGTCAGTGTTGAACATTGAATCGTTTGTTTATTCGAACTGGTCTTCATATTGCCGGGAGGCAAAAAGGCTATCATTATTTAATCGTATACTGGCTGGCATAAAATTGGACAAATACAATCAGAAGTATTGTTTTCCCTTATATTATCGTTTATTTACAGATATTGGCACTGATCAAACATTGTACATCTGTTTTGTTATCTCTTGAAGAATAAACAATCGTGTTGCTCAGCCGTTTCCTTTGTTCTTCCTCAGTTAAAGTGCACAGTGTTCCAGGCAAAGTTTAACAATAGTGTCCCAAGGTATGCGAACGCATGAATGACCCTCAGCTGGCCAATCATAAAAATGAGGGTTTGTCGCACCAAAATGACGTATATTTACAAGAAAATGCATGAAAACACATTAAACAGGTTATCTTTCTCTGATATGACCAGAAATACGTCCCATTTATAACGAGGAGTATCAGTTGCTAAGTTAGACTATTTTCTGTACATGTATTTACTGAAGTGACTGAAGATGAGCTGTTTTTGTGAAATGTTTATCTCTCTTATCTCACTGTGCAGTTTTCCTTAAAAGCCTTCATTTCAATTACAATGGTTTCCAGTAAGAGGATCAATGACTACTTACCAGGAAAATGTGGGTAATAAAACAAATTAAAATAAATGACATCAACTCTAAATATATCCCTAAGCCTAACCCTAACCCCAATACTTATCTTAACCCTAATCCTAACCCTAACGAGTTGTTAACACATTGTCGAAACAGTACTTAAACCCAAGATCTGGCTGAAGTTCGCTCCTTAATTGGTGAATAGCGTTCATATTTGCGCTATAATAATGACAGGTACCTTTAGCCAACGACTAGTATGCGCTCACGGTCATTGGGGCCTTTGCACTCCTGGGATGCTATTGTTTAACTTCACTGTGTTCTGCTTGTTAGGTTTAATCTTCTAAAACCAGGCATAGTTCAAGCATCTCTGCAATTTGGATATTTGACAATAGAACTCCTTTGAGATTTATATAACTATTGAATTTTTACATATGTCGTCTTCAAATAGGCTGTTGTTTTTTTGGTGTAGTCAGTCAACTTCCAATCACTGGATCATGTATTCAAGCCTCACTGGTACCACTGGACTCTTTAATCTCAAAGATCTATGCAAGTTTCTGCTTGGCGTTTACTGTCTTTCTCATACACATCCACACATCCCAAACAAATAAGGTTTTTTGAACATGATACTATTAAGAGCATAAAATAAAATTACAAGCTTTTATTTATACAACAGATACACCAAAACGAACTAAACACTTAAATATACAGCATTCAATGATACTACAATCATAAATCTGTTCTGGTATCTTTTATTTTAGTACAATTTTAATTTACAGCATAATACCCATGGTCGCATAGGATCACGCATTCCGTGTAATATAATACTACAGACAAAATTGAAATTCACTCGTATGACTTTTGTTGAGGTTAATACCCATTCAGGCAGGCTGTACACAGATCGTCTGAATGGATTCAGATAGAAAAAGAAACCTGTTGTTTCATTATAACGTACTAGATCAAAGAAACATTCATCAGGATAGTGCATTTCAACATATCCATAGATTGAATGTAAAAAAGTGCTGAGTACCGCACATATTAATAATTTGAGTAAAGTTGTATGCATTTTAATGGGTAATCCAGTGAGTTAAAAAGAAATTTATGAACGCCTTTTTATGTCCTATTTATAAAAAAAGAAAGGATAGAATTAATAACAAATAGTTAAGTAGAGGATTTCACATACTACTTATATGGAAAAATACTAACTAATAAGTAGTTTATTGTAAATAATTCATAAATAATCCCCACCCACTCATTAATCAAAGCAAAACAATTAGCTCAGTGACAGAACACTTTGAGTGTGACAATCGAACACTTTACTAGCAGTGCTCATTCCGCTTCAACACATGCCTCCTTCAAAGTAATCTACAAAGGGAAGAAGAAACCTAACAAAGGAAATATGCTTTCGTCTTCTTTGTATTGGTGAAGCAATAGGTCTTCAGACAGAGAAACTGGAGCTGTGTAAACAGAAGAGAATTATTCAACGACTTCATATATCATGGTAAAAAAAGTGTTAATTTCCATTGTCCTGAATTTTGTTTGTTAGTCTGTTTTTCTAACTTCTCATAACTTTTGTACTTCTTTAGAACTCTTACACAACTCCATATTTTCCTTAATTTTTATGTGCATTCTGATTACGACTCACTTGTTGAATTCTTTTGTCTTATTACGTAACCCTAACACTGCTATTCAACTCATCTTATGCATTGACTACTATTAACAACTATGTCTGTGATGACGCATTGTATCACTTTTGTTACTAGTGTGAAATATTCTCTCATATCATGAATTAAAAGTCAATCTCAACGAAGAATATTCTTTTCAGTAATTTTCCTTCTTCACATTCTTACAATTATAAAATATAATGCATTTGTTGTCGCTGTAATAATAGCTAGTTAGTTATGCGGCGGATACATTTTTTACATAGTTTACGTAGAATAGTTATAGGATGTGTCAAAATAAATAGTCGTATTTGTGTGACAAACATCGTGCTAGGCTGAAATCGATTACAAAGTATTGTAAAGTGGGAGACAGTGGTGGTGATTAGTCATAATAGATTTGTAAAATGTGGGGTAGGAAAAATTGACAAGTCAGTTCAAGGTTACAAAAGTTGTCAGGTGAGTGAGTGGCTAGTACAAAGTGGCATGTATTGAAGAGGAGATAGTAAGAGTGCAATGAGAGGTTTCTAGTGAAATAACCAATATGTGAAATGAAACAGGTGGAGGCATATGTTGAGAAGAGAGATAATATCACTAATAATAAGTCCGGATAGTATAAATTGAAAATTCGATAGTATTGGGAGAATGTTTGCATGAAGGGTATAAATTATGACGAATAATAATAATTGTAATAATAAGCAAAGAAAGAACAAAACCAAGAGAGTTAAGGGGGAAGCAGAATCATCAGTCAAAGTTTAGCCACGTAGAAACAGCGTCTGGACATGTTCCTTTTGCATACAAAGTTCCTGTTTAGTCGATGTTATTGCAACAGCTTCAGCTATATGCAGCAGACGTAAGCGAATTGTACGGGATAACGACTTCGAAATTCAATATGTAATCCTGAAAGCTGTGTTGGCGTCGATGCGATGTCGAGTGTCGACCAAGTGTGACAGGAGTGAGCCTTTGATGCAATTAATTTCCCTCATGCTGTGAACAGAGCTGGTAAATGTTTTCGAAACAGCAGTTAAACCTGCCTAATAGTGTGCCCTTTACAACCTGAACCACAGAAACAGTTTAAATGGTATATGCATGAATTTGCAAAAAAAAAATACTATTTATTTTGACACCCCAAAACTAATCTGTTATTCTACGTTAAAAATATATCTGCCACATAACTGGTCATTACTGTAACGGCAACAAATGCATTATATTTCAAAACTGTAAGAACGTGAAGAGAGTAAATTATTGAAACGAATATTCTTCGTTCAAAGCGACTTTCACTTTTGTTGCCACCCCGCACTCATGAGAAAACTGTATATAAATGTGATTGTCCTGTGGTGAGAGCAGCCTGCTAGCCAATTGGTTGACATTAATCTACGTCAATGTCTAGGTCACTAATATGGGCCGTGAGAAAATATGAACAAGGCTGTTTTAACAACCAATCACAGCAAACTTAAACGTGGGCAAATATGATTCGCAGATAGATGGCTCCACTTTCTGAGGAACTCGAAAACAACCAATCAGAAGACTGCGTTTGTCTACTTGACTAGGATAGAATAATGTATGTGAAATTTATATAAATACGTGTTGATTTTCGTAATAAAATGATCTGTTGCCAGCCCTTGTCTTCTGTTGTTACAGTACATCTAAAGAAAGTGAATATGCCTAAAAGTATGTAGTTAACAATACTTAAAAGAACCTCATGTTGAATTGTGAACACCATCTTCCTTGATTCAAAAAACATCTTAGTGGTTAACAAGTAAGGATTTTAATGGCTTTTTAGAAATTAGCTATACTAAGAATAAGCAAGTTGGCAATCCATTAGTGGATATTGTGTTCTCTAACCTGGGAATTTTCTGAGCAGAAATTCTAACTTTAGCTCAGTAGCTATCTTTATCGTTTTGCAAGAAAACACATTTGCTAATTCCAATTGTGGTCATGGATTGATATCAATCAGGGGACCATTGAAAGCCAGAGATTACTGGACAGCTGTTTCATCCTACTTTGGGAATCTTCAGCAGTTTGTATCCACTGAGGTTTGAACTCAAGACCTACAGTTACAGGTAAAGCTTGTAATCCATTCAGCCACCAGGACCGGATTCAATAGCCCACAAGTTCCAAAATCTACCAGTACTCCTTGATTTTCAGTGGCTCACTAACTGAGTATCAATCTTTGATCAGATATGTTCATTTTTTAGTAACGTCTTTGTTAGCTGTAACCACTTGTACTCAAATCAGATCAAAATCCTCTAATATGAAGAATGATATTTCTCTTAAATTGACTACCATTCTTTTAATTTAGAAGTGGAATAATTTTTATTACTTTTCTGTGGTTATTTATACGGCCATCATTTGTTTGAATTTTAAAAGTTTACGCTTAATTTGGTTTCCAGACAATTTCTCACTTCATTTGTTTCGATTGACTGCCATGATTGCAATAGCAGATGAGAAGCAAAATATTTAGCCATCTATAGATTGAATAACAGAATGTCCATAGTCACAACTAGAAATGTTTAAGATCATGTCAAAAAATGTAAGTAAATAAATCTAGACGCCGTTTTCGAGTTATTTTCAAAGATTTTGAATACACTCAGTTTTACTTCAAGGGAGAATCCAGTTGACAAACAGTGATAGTTTTATGAAGCATAATGGCATATCTCCAACGTATGCTTATGATTAGAATTCCCTTAAACCACTTTAAATGGCACGCCTAAAATAAATGATCAATAGAAAGTCATTATATATATATTTTGGTTTTAATATGATTAATTAGACAACAATATATTGAACTCAGTTCCGCATAACCTGACATTGTATTCGTTGTCACCTTATAAACTTATTTATTTTAACCTTCATGAGTAGAATCTTAACGTAATGCAATTGAAGCATAATGTGTCTATTAATACATCTTAGACTTAGTCAATGCTGTTTACACCGTCACTATTTATAAGCCTACTATTATGTCATGGAGTCGAGGAGTGCACAATGAAATTTACCGATGGTACAGGTGAACGGTTTGTCATCATCATAAATTCTTTGAAATCATAAAATATTTTGTTTTGGATGTATTACTTGCTAAATGATATGAAAGAAGCACCTCCCAAAGTTTCTTTGAATCCCTGAATCTGAGTCACTTAACACAATTTATTTACATACTTTAACAAAATAGCCTATATGTATGCATGTGGAAAGTATCACTTCATTCCACTTGTGATGTGTGCCACTGATAAGATTTATCAGTAGTATACATATATATAAAGAGATGTTCATCAGCATAAAACACATCAAATAGGGGAGAGATAGATTAAACGTCAAAGAGAGAAAATGAACCAGCGTTGTAGCAAAACATGGGAGACACGGAAAGAAGACAAATAAAGACAATACGAAGGGCAGAAGTAGGACAACACGGAATATCTGTGCAAATGATGATTTGCAGATAATGTATACATAATTCTGCTATATAGAGATGCAGAATTCCAAATAAACATTCTTTACTAAGTGTCTTGTCTTCTACCGTAATGCACTTAGCTACCAGCTGTTATTATATGTGACTTGAATGTACATTTGTGCACCATTCAAAACTGGTAACAGTTATTTTTTAGTTTGCAAACCAGTAATGTAATCAGCCTCAATCCTTGATCGTTGTCCAGCATTCCTTCATTCTAAGTGAGTTTTAGACGCAAAGCATTATGCAGAAATGTAGTGGTTCAAGTTGCTGCTCTTAATAAACGCACTCATACAATCAGGATGAAATATGAGGAGACTGCAATAAATGGAGCTGTACAGGAGACAGTCTGGCTGCAGAAAGAATAATGAAGATTTTCGAAATCTTGGATATTAGAAAGACTGAATACATTTGCACATTTGGAAACGATGTTTAGTCATATCACCAGCACTCTCAACTCACTGGCTTTTAGTGTTTGGAGAACGCTAGCCAGGTAGTTTACATCTCCTTTTTGCAGTTCAACTGATACACACATCACTTAAAACGTCATTAAATAAGTAAAACTATTTTACAGTGTAATATGTTTTAGTAAACAGATTAATATGAGAGATATATGGCTTCATGTGGTCTCTAAACATGAATTCGCTTTTTAGGAGATACTTCCTTGTAAGACTGACAGAAAACAGCTAAAACTTAGTTGTAGAAGCAGGAGATTTTGTGTTTTAAATGTACATCTATGTGATAATATGAATATGATAAACTTACTGAGTAATCTCGAACCTGGTAAAATCAATCAAAAAGCTTGTTTCAAAGATGACCGAGACTAATTTTGAAATAAACTTGAGGTGTATTTTTGTCTAATAGAGTTATTTTTAAAGCAACATATCAATCTCTTCCCCCTATCATTGCCGTATCTCAGTGAAGCATAAGTTACAGTCTTATTCTGAGTCAAACTGAGATATCTATTAAGTTTAGTGTTGTTACACTCACACAATAATCTTCTAAGTCATGTCAGCAAAAATTGATGTTCAACATTCTGCCTGTTATTTGTGTAAGATCAGTATTATAAGTAAAAAATTTCTCAGCTTATTTTACTACAACTTAAGATTTTCTCAAAGTTTAAAACTGCTTTACTGCATAAACTAAGCCTTGGTTCTTAAAGTAAGGAGGAGTTCAACACAAACTGTATAAGTATAACTCTGACTACATGATACTGAAGTTTATTGTGCGTCTCCATGTCATCTTTTTATTTTCACCATTATCCCCGTTTTTGTCAACGCGATAAGATAAATTCGAGTTCCATGTGTCGTTTCGTCCTCAAAGAGTTAATAATTTACTGTCTGCTAATTTCATGATTTATTGTAAATTTAATATTGATTCTTGTGAACCGAATTAACTCAGAGAATAAAACAAAAATGTTACATTAGGTTACATCCAAGCATAGTACTAACCAAAACATATCCAAGTGTCTATTGTCGTATCAAACACAGATTAAAAAGTAGTGAGGAGGACTTGCACCCTACTTTAGCATGAATAACAAGACAATTACATAGTGAACAGCCCACATGACCGCGAAATCTAGAGTGAATTTTAAATAGTAGCCTTATAACAAATGTGTCCAATACTGTTTCAGTTTTCCTAAAAGCGCATACTAAATTAGGGTAAATGATTAAAAGCTTGGTGAACATTAAATCTTGCGAGAAATGTGTAGTAGTGGCGTGAAACTATGGTCTAAGATGAAAATTTTAGTCCAATATCCAATATCCAATATCCTGATGACGAGCTAGTATAAACCAGTGATTTCTTTGAGCTCGCTTCTTGATTGTGAGGTAGAGGTTCCAGATCTTCGGTGAGCTTCTGCGTAGTAAGTCCCGACACTCGACTGCTTTAGCTCTGGTAGACTCCAGGAGGAGTGGTGCGGGGATTGGTCGAGATGTGGTTTGTAGTATGCAGTATGTTAGGACTGTATTGCTGCCGTGAATGGAGTTTGACCTAACTCCCCTTGGTCATTCGGTGTAGTCATAAAAGCAGAATAGTAATAATAATAATAATAGGTTGTAGTGTAGATAATATAGGTTGAGATAAGTGGAATAATAAAGGTGACCTAAGGAAAAGATAGAGTGAGAGAAGGCAGAATAGGTCGTGGGGATTTAGTTAGTACGCTTATTCATTGACAGTTTGGTTTCAAATTTTATGAGGATAAGCCATTGAGACACAAACCTTGCATTTCTGCATGATTGTCTAGCTTCCGCTTAAAAATCTCCACAGATGGCGCTGTAGTCACGGCCGCCGGTAAAGCGTTCCAGAGACGGCAAACACGAAGCGAAAAGAAATGTGATCGCACTCGAGTCTTTGGTCTCTGGTGTGCTATCCTTAGCGGGTTACCTCGTGGAAGCCTATAATCGCTTAATGGCAGGATGCTTTTATTTGGGTGGGCCTGGTCATTTAGGATCTTGTAGACGGTGATGAGGTCTCCCCTGTGCCTACGGTAACTGAGTGTGAAAAGACCTAATTTCTTTAGTCTTTCCTCATATGATTTGTTGCGGAGGCCGATCACCCATTTTGTCGCTCGTCTCTGGACACTTTCTAGAATGTTAGCATCCCTTTTGAGTAGCGGAGGTGCAATGATATTATGCACCTCAAGGTGTGGCCTCACATATGCCTTGTATAGCCTTAAGAACAGTTCGGGAGTGAGAGCTCCCAGCTGCCTGTGCATAAAGTGTAATGTTGCGTAGGCTTTGGCGACGTCCCTCGAGTAATTTCCACTGGTGTCTAGCTTTTCTGTTAGAATAAGACCTAGATCACGCTCTGATGGAACACAACTCAAGTTCTGGCCACCAAGGGTGTAATTTACACTCTGTGACCTGCCGGAATGAAGCTGCACTACTTTGCACTTCTTTAGATTGAAAGGCATTCCGTTAGCCAAAGCCCAATTTCCCAGAGTTTGCAGGTCAGCCTGCAATCTATCTGAGTCTTCCGATGAGTTTATTGCTCTCCAAATCTTTACGTCGTCAGCGTAAAGAAGCGCAGAGCAGTTTAGTTGGGGGGGCAGGTCATTGATAAAAATCAAAAACATCAACGGCCCTAGGATAGAACCCTGAGGAACCCCTGATGCCGAGGTGTGCCAAGATGATCGGATGCGGTTGACTTTGGTGCAGAATTCTCTCTCGCCTAAGTAATCTGTCAGCCATGCGAGAAGTGCTCCAGAAACTCCCGCCTTGCCTATTTTGTGAAGGAGCAGACCATGGTGAACTGTGTCGAATGCTTTCGCAAAGTCGAGAAAGATCACGTGGGCTGGTACCTTTTTGTCCCAGGATAGTGTCCAATCGTTCCAGGCTAGTAGAAGATTCGTCACGCAGGATCTTCCCCTCCTGAAACCGTGCTGTGCTTCGTGAAGAAGGTTAGTCCCATCGAAGTATTTTCTCATGTGGTCGTCAATGAGACTTTCCAATATCTTCGATACCACTGGAAGTAGAGCAACTGGTCTGTAACTGGTCACATTCTGCCGGTCACCACCCTTGAAGATAGGGGATAGGATTGCACGTTTCCATTCACATGGAAGTTTCCCTACATCAAGGGAGTGTTGGAACAGATCACTTAGGGGTTGACAGAGACTTTCTGAACACTGCTTCAGGACAGATGGTCTGATGCCATCACAACCTGGAGACTTTCCCGAAGCCAACCTTCCCAATTTTGCAAGTACCATAGCCGGGGTAATTTGAAATGTCCCCAGCAGGTTTTCGTGTGTTGGTTCTGCGATGTAATCTGGATGTTCTGTAGGGGTAATATCCTCGTTACTATTTAGTTGCCTGTGAAAGGCTAGGCTGAATGTCTCTGCCATTTCAAGACTAGTAAGAGATTTCCCATCAGAACCCACTAGATTGCATGCTCCCTGGTTGGTCGGTTTTCTTTCGGCCATAAACCTGTATAGGCTTTTGGGGTTCACGAGAAGCTTATTGGCGAGGTCTCCCTGAAATGTCCTTCTATCGCTCCGGACTCGTATGTTACATCGATTCCTGAGTTCAAGGTACACTTCATATTCGGGTTGACTCTTCGATCGTCGCCACGCGAACCAGGCTTTACGCTTTGCCTGCAGAAGGCGTTGTGTCCCTCTTTTCAGCCATGATCGTTGCTTCCTAGCTTTTGGTGAGACTAAAGGAACAGTGTCTGAGACCGCCTGGTGAATGATCTCCTTTACCACTCTCCAGTGTTCTTCTACTGTTAGCTCTGTCCATTTTTTAGGCCAGTTTGCTTCAGACAGAAGTCTTCGCATTTTGGTAAAGTTGGCTTTGTTATAACACAGATAGGGCTGTGTATTGTCCCACTGTAAGCGCTCGCGGAGGACTATGTCGAATACTATGACCGCGTGGTCACTACTACCTATGGGAGTCGTGATCTGAACGTTTTCCACTAGTAGCTGGTCACTAGTGAGCACGTAATCCAGTCTAGAAGACTTCCCATCAGGGCCCCATCTAGTATCCATCTTGACATTTTCGGTGAATCCAGCCTTCCTGATGGTATGCAGCAGATTTCGATCAAATCTATCATGGGCTTTTCCCGACACCAAGTTAAGAGATGGGGCATTGAAGTCACCAGCTATGACAATTTGATCATAACCCATGTCTTGAGTCGCTGAAATTGTATTTAGCAGTACCTGGTTATGGTCTGCTCCACATGAAGGTGATCGATAAATGCTGCCCACTAGATATTTGCAGTACCCAACGGTGAAGTGGCACCATATGGAGTCAGGGAGCTCTGTGAGGGGAGGGTCCGTCGCGTGAACACATCTGAGCTGTTTGTCGACGTATATGGCGACTCCACCTCCTTCTTTCAGGTCCCTATCTCGCCTGACTAGGACCATATCATTTATACTGACTTCGCTGTCTGCCACCGTAGGGGTTAGCCAGGTTTCCGTCAGTATTATGATTTTGGAGTTTAGTTGTGATTGTAGGTGTCTAAGTTCAGCTATTTTGCCTCTTAGCCCTCTCACATTACTATACAGGCAACTGGTAGTCAGTCTCACCACTTCCCCGTATTGGGGGGTAGTTGACTTGATATTGGCTATCGGTTGAGGAGTTATCCTACGAACTAGTTGGCCGATTCCCCAGGAACCGGCCTGTTGGCGTTTTTTTCTTCTAGTTCAGTTGGAGCACTCGGATGACACTGGCTATCATCGTCCGTGCTGCACCGCTGTAGTGTGACTAGGGGTTGAGGATTTTCTTTTACTACGCTTTGTTCTCTCCTTTGAGTGCGAGGCCGGCTCTCGCAGCAGCGAATGTGTTTGCTGACCTTGTCCTTGGTCTCGTACCATCTATGGAGAGCGGTAGTCAACTGGTCTTGGGAGCTGAACTTGACAGCTAACAGACGTGGCGAGTTAATTGACATAAGATGAGTGGGTCGAGGCAGTCTATAAATAGAGACAGCCCCTGAACTTCCCAGGGCCATCTGGGATGCTAACCATCTCCATTGTTGTACATCATGACAATGCTTTTCGCAGGCGTTCCCAGTTACCAGTTCGGGAATGCCATGCACAACCATGGAGGCAGAAGGAATGAGCTCTGGCGACTCCCTCGCCATTTGTCTTTCCTTCCACGGCCTGTCTGGCTTAACACGTATGTTACAGGCCCTCCCTATAGAAAGGACTTGAGAAGCCAGTAACACTTTTTCAACATCCTCGGTAGAGCTCAATGTTACCCTCAGTGGGGATGGTTTGCCTTCAGGTGCAGCAGTGCCCCTATACAATCTGCATAGATTTACTGGTTGGATGTCCAAACCCAGTGTGCTACTTAAGATGGACCACTGTTCCTGATCAAATAGGGCCCTATCTTTCAGCAGACTACTGCTACAGTCTGGTACATTAAAGAGGATTACACAATTTGATCTGCTAACCGTGGGCTTGGGCTCGGTCCTCGCACGTTTGTGATCACCTTTAAGACCGTTTTGGTTTGACTGGTGCGACTGGGTATTTTTATGTGTCTCAGTGCTATAGCCAGCATTACTGGTAGACGGTTGGGGTCTTTTTCCAACGACGGAAACCCGTGGTTCTCCAGCCTCTGTGTCTGGAGCGGTTATGGCAAGAGTTACAAGTTTAACCGGTGAGGATTTTGGTATCCCCGGTTTACGCGCGTTTGTACTAACTTCCGGATTGGTGGGGGTCGAGCTTTTCACCTTTTTCCCCGCTACTTCTGTGCCACCTTTAGTTTTCAAAGGACTACGCGAGGCTACATCAGGACGGCAACTCGGGCATATGTACCAGAACCATTGGCATGGGTTTTTACGCATAAAGTCATAATATGCTTTTGGTACCCCACTGTCGCATCTGCAATGCACCCATCGGTTGCAAAAGTTACATTCGAAGGCAGAGTCTGCTTGTTCGACAACAGAAGCACAGACCTTGCAGTCGTCTGTCTTCTTGGGGAGCGTTCTTGTCGTCTTGCGACGTCGTGAACGTTTCTTTTTGGCCTTCCTATTTGTTTCATGGTCTACCATGGGGATGGGTGTTATGAAGTTCTCACTTAGTGCAATTTTCCCACTCGGATCTGTTAACCTAGTCGTGTTAACAGGGGTGGAGCCACATC